TAAAAATGACAAGAAAATGGATTTTTCAGACAACAGTCTCCTGTTCCTGGTGTAATTTCATGTTGAGCTACAGATACTGACAACATCAGACAGTTTATACATTTCTCCTTTAATTGTATACTGCAGCCCCATTTTCAGAGAGGTGCTCACCACTACATAATTAAGAAAGTGTTTAAAGCATCTGAGTGCCATTAGATGCTGGATCGAGAAAGGATTGTGTGTGAGTCTGATGCTGGTAAGGCTGTTTTTGGGCCAGCCTGCTCCTTGCTGGAAGAGTAAGAGGTGATTGTGCAGTTCTCAGAGGAGGCTAAAGAGTCAAAAAGAGGTTTGAAGGGGTGGTGAAGGTCAGTCACCATAACAAAGCCACCATGCACCGTGCCTACATGAGATGTTTGCATCCTGGAGGGATGGGCCTTACATCTTACAGCTCTGCAGCTCCTCACGTTAAGTCTGAGCTAGCTGAAATGAGATAAAAGCTAAGAGCCAACCTCATTGCCACAAATGTGGCTGGAAATTCAGAGGGAAAGAGATAAATTGCCTTCATTGTCTCAGTGCTCAAACTATTTTGCTTTTGAGCAGGACAAACAGGACGTCTCCTTCCACCAAACAAACAAATAACAAACTTCAGTACGTAACTCTGTCCCTCCTCAGTGCAACAACAAAGCAAGCACCCAGCCTTACTGCCCATTCTGTGCAATATAGTTTGTGATATTTCACAAGAGGGTTTGAATACCTCACACCTCGTGGTTTTCTCTCCCCAGGGGAGCTTTGGAAATCCCAGCATCATTCAAAGAGCTTGCAGCAAGCACAGATGCCCAGATCTTCCTGGTGGCCCACTGGTAGGCTGCCAGAGGAAGGACAAGGTCCGGGCTGCGGAGAGAGGTGGCCAGGGACCTTCGTGGGGTGGCCGGGTGCTCCAGGATGTGGCGTTTGCTGGCAGAGGAGGGCAAAAGGAGAAGGAGAGAGGTTCAGCATGAAGGATAACTGAGAAGCATCTCTCCTCTGGGGAAAATGTTTCTGAAATAATAGATATTTTGATTGATTTGGAATAATATTTAACAGATGTGGACAGAATATCCTCCATTAAAATAAGATACTCTTATAATTGAAACAATATTCCTTGTACCACTATCTGCAAACTCAAAAAGCTTATTTTAGCTTAGGGATAAAATAAGCTTAAGCAATGGGAAGCATAGCCATTTCCCCACTTTTTTTTCCAACAGCTACCTCTCATATCTCAGAATTGTTTGTTTTATTAAGAAACCCTGCAGTCTGAAGCCGATTTATAGCAAGCCCAAAGCTGTGTGTTGCAGTTGCTTTCATAAGGGCTATTTATTTTTTTAGCAGCTCACAATAAAAAAAAAAAAAGTGCCAGTCTGTTCCATATGCAAAGCAAAGGATTAACCAGAAGAGGAACACTAATAAATTTCTTTCCTTCAGGAAAGAGCCAGCAGAGCTGGGGCTTCAATTTGATTTAACCTAACACCGTTGCTCATCACTTCAAAATGCCCTGCACCCCCACCGGCTGGTATCACAAGGAGCATCGTTTGCAGGGAAAATCACGTGCAGAATCCTATCTGCAACCAGCATGCATAATTACTCCACGTTTTCTCCAGAAGGGATTATCCCGTGGCAATAATTATGCCAAAAATATGCCCCAAAGAATAATATTTCAGACAAGCGCCGCCATCCAACAAACCCACTGTATAATTATGTTATTTTTCCCCTCTGAAAGCTCTCACTCATCTCCGCATCGTGCCCGCGTAAGCCCTCCTCCAAGGGGAACACCAGCTTGCTGCCGACGATGGCACATACATCAAAGCACGGGTGGCGAAGCTGCCCTGCCCAGGCTCCTGATGTGGAGCCGTGCTCGGACTTCGCCCCGAGCAAAAGATGCCACCTCTAATATAGGGAACTGTCACAAATTTGTTTTTTGTCATAAATGAAGCATGGGGCTGCGGTTTAATTTTCCTCACTGCCCTCTGTCAGGTAATAACCGTAAATATTGTCCTGAATCATTAAGTCACAACCTGAAATGTGATCCTGCCCAGTTCCCAATCAGACAGCCATCTGGAAGATGAAAGAAGTCTATTTTCGTTGCAGAATGATCCAGACTCTAATTTGTAGTAACAGTCTTAACAGGCTGTTTCGGAGACATTAACCAGAGACTGGTGGCGGTTACTCAAGGAGGGGGCACTACGTGCTGCCTACAGCACGCGTCGTGGGCAAAATACCCCATCGCTGCTTGACTTTCTGTGGCTTTTCATTTGAGCACCATGGCTCTAAATGGGCACTGGTTATGTACCCAGGGTGGCTGAAATATACTACATCGTAAAAAATGCCAACACGTCTGTGGGAGACAGAGAATAGTATTTCCACAGAGCTAGCTGTGGAACCGCAGGTCGTATAAATGCCTCCTATCTTAGGGTTAATTCCATGCTGAAAGCAAATATTTTTTATATATACATATATATATATAACTGTATTTATACATACATATAGCTTTTTATTTTCTGGCTACTGAAAAAAGTGTTTCCACCATCAAAGCACTCTTTTACTGCAACAGCAAAATACCTTTTACTCTGTTAAAAGCTCAGAGGAAAACCAACTAAGCAATTACCTGGCTGAGCAAGGGCACTGTCAGCCGAGAGCATCTCACTGGGACCACTGCCCCCTCCTGGTCCACGCAGCCTTTCCCTGGGGAGGGACATCAAAGCCCAGCTGGGCTTTGATTGTCCCCCATTGCCCCTCTGAAAACCCCACAGAGACTTGTTCTGCCTGTTTGTAGATTTAGGAGCATGGCATCTCCATCGGCACGTGTATGCCAGCCTGTGACTTGCACAGCTAAAAACCCAAATTAGGTGACTCCAGTATGCCATATGAAAAAGCTACAGGCTTAATTCTGAGAAACAGGTAACTTTGTCATAACTTGCCTTCCATTCACTTCTGAAGAGGGATGTAGAGATGTCTCTCTCATTCTTAAGTGGTGATGAAAGCACAGTGTTCAGCCTGTCCTCGTTCTCACTCCCTCACTCCTGCAGACCTGCCAATTAAAGATGGATGCAGAGGCACAGAAACGCAAGTGCATCTGACAGCAGACATCTCTCAAGCAGAAGTTCAGAGGGGTGATTGTTTGGCTGAGTCTCCTATTTTCCTTGATGTTTTATCATCCTGGGTTATGTTTCCTTTAAGGTTTACAGAAAGCATTTGCTATAACAGATGTGTGTATGTGAATGAGCTTAGCCCAGAGATTTGGAAATGACCACACGGGGGTCTCTTACAGGTAGAGATAACTGAATTAGCATCTTTCTGAATAAGCCCTTCTATTTTTCTAAAACACTGCAAGTTAGAAGTGGTGTGGAGAGAAGATAAGGAGCAAAATAAATGCTGTTTCTCTGCATCTCTGCACTGCAGATGTACAACATAGCAGAACTGTTTACCAGCAGGTAGGATTGAAGTGCGTGTTGCACAGGCAGGAGAAAAGGGAAGAAAAAAACAAGGATTTTGTTTCCTGAATGTTGCTGCTGAGGAAGAACTATACCCCTGCCATATAGCCTGTGTCCTGAGCAACAGCTTTAGTATTAACCTGGTGTGAACGCCCATTGCTCTGGCTTGGGTTATTCTTTGAATGTTGTGCTCCCTGGGGAGCACACCTTAAGTATGCACGGGTGTCCTGCACATTTCCTACCAGATGCAGAATTATTGCTGTTCTCATCTAAGCTCCCCAATGGGAGGACACAAAGGACCTTCTGGGTGTGTTTGCCCCATGCCTCACTGCATGGGGCTTACCACATCTACTATTTCCATCCCGGCAGGGTACTAGCTGGGATCAGCAGTCTCCAGTGCTCAAGGCTGCATTGTGTCAAATGGAAATCACCATTCTGGAGCTGATACATGAATAGACAAAACAGTCACATAGCAGGAGAAAGGAAATTCCCTGCCGAGTTCCCACTTCCCAGACCAGAAATTGATGGAGGAGTGACACCCTGGATGCCCAGGCACCAGGAGAGTTGTCCATCCTGACCTTACAGTGCTCACATTCAGACATGGAGTTGAAGAGGTCTGTGGAAAAGTCATACTTGGATCCGTATTTCTGTGACCAAAAGGCTATTTTCCCTTCCCTACTGAAAAGTAAACATGTCTCAGCAGCAGTCACCAAAAAACAGCAGGAGTACAAAACACTGAAAGCTTTGCCCAGTATTGCATTTCCAGAAATAAGTAAAGGAACCTTTTTTTTTTCTTTCTTTCTTTTTTCTTTTTTTTTTCCCATTATTTTTAAATGTGAAAGCATGCGTGCTATACCATTACAGTGCAATGGACCGCAACTTAAATTGTATCATACCGTGTCCAGTAAAAAATGTCCATCACAGCCTTTTGAAATTGTTGGTGAGTTTTTATTTAGCTTTTTTTTAAAGTCACATAATTTGGACAAAGCACAGTTGTGATAATAGGGAGCATGCTGGGTCTTTCTACATACCATGGCTGTAATAATGAAGCCATTAAATTACTAGGTCAGAGGCCCCAATTCGCAAAGAAATAATACCAGTTTATTATTTCTAATCTTATTAAGTTAGAAAATTGTCTTGAGATGTAACGTCAACCTGTAATGGCTGAAGTATTGATTATATTAACCCAATGCTCATGGATAATTCAAAGAGCTTGATTTCATCTAATTTCTGTAATTTTTAAAACAGTCCAGCCCAATTTCTTTATGGCAAACTAATCCAGAATTATTTCTATAAATAATGAAAATGTATTATAAGATTTGCTAGGAGTAAGCCAATAAAACATTTTGTGTGATGGCTAGCAGAGTGGGAATTTAATCCTTTTCTTCTTTATCTTTCTTGAATCATGAATCTTCTTTTTCATTTTTTTCTCCCTTTTTAATCTTCCAGTGTCTCTTTGGGAAATATATGCCCATGTTTTTCAGAAATATCCATGGACTTCTTTGTTCACCTCTTAACTGAAATTGATGGGTCCTTTGATGATTTTACCTAAATAAAGACAACAAACAATATAATTTCATCTCTGCCAAATTTGAATCTTGTCCAGTTTTGTACAATAGATATACAACTAAGGGATACGGTATAAAATTTCAAAAATCCCAGTATTGTTTGGTTCCTGGAGCAAATTCTTAAAAGCTTTTAATTTGCTCTGAAGTTTTTAAGAAATATATAATAGTAGATGTGTGTGCACAAGTGATGCACATACACTTATAGTTGCAAGTACACCTGGATATGGTCCAAAGCCTATTTAACTCAATGGGAATCTTTCCATTACTTCATTGAGGGCTGGATCAAGCCCTAGGGGTGCTGGTTGATTTCAAATATTCATTTTCTAGGGTTGTTTTTGATCCTTCCCACTGACCTTGCTCTGTACCACTTCCCCAGTTCCCTTCCAGAAACCCCAGCTTGAGAAAAGCCGTGTTTAGGGATTTTAATGTGCCTCTTTCTCTGCTTCCATCCCTGTGGCTTTCCTATCAAAGCACTACATGCATTAAGAAAATTAATGTGACTTAAGTTACTGAACCAACCTGAAGGCTAGTTCACTCAAAAATATTTCCTATACGGATATTTATTAGCTCAGAAGACATGTGTGGGCAGAGCGTGTTATTTAGTGACCTGTAATGCCCAAATAATGATCACAATAAATCAGTACTCATTACTATGTAAGGGAGGTCTGGATCGAGTGACTCAATAGGTAATGAGGTCTAATTTAGTGCCGTGGTATTATTTTACAGGGTATTTGGGGTGGGGGGATGGAGGGTGGGAAGCTGAGGCTGAAGGGGGTCTGATTACCTCAGATGTCTCATGTGGTGATGAGCCTCTAACTTTGGGCAGTTGTTTCAGCAGGGTGTTGGAGGTCAGGCTTTTAATTGCTATTGGCTGCATTTGGCTACATTAAGTGAATAAATATTTCAGGTCTGGATCTCTAACACTGGGTTAAATGGAGCAAGACTGGGTCTAGAATCAATATAATGGGATGTAGGGAGAGAGAAAAGAGCATTGAGATGGAAGATAAAGAACTGAAGTCCTTTCTTGGGGGAACTCCCTGAGGTCCCCCTTCTCCTCTCCACCAGGCATCAAGGAAGCCTGGGGGCACCAGAGGTAGGTTCCTTTATAACCCTCTTGCACATCCCAGGAGCAAGGGAGACCTCACACACGTACATCTTTTGCAATATGTTTGCTCCCTGCCTCCCAGGTTCCGTCCATGTCTGGAGGTTTGCTGAATATCAGCGGCTAAAATTAATAGCAGGCACGAGGTGGTGAGCTTGCCATCATCGGGGTTTCCAGGTGAAGTTGTTCAGAGCTGAAACCTTTAAAAGTTAGTAAATCTGTAAAAGTTAATTGTTCCATCTTCTGCAGCAGCCTTGAGCGATCCATGTTGTGGGAAGTGGCAATGTGGACACAAAGCTGAAGTCTCCCGGGTTGTGAATCTTTGAATTTGAGGGATATGTGGGACTGCCTTGGGCATGTAGGGATCCAGACCCCAGCAGCCAGGTGCTGAGCTCTCCTTGGGATAACTGTTCAGGGAAAAAATGGGATATTCTTTAGTGTGAGTGGAGCCAAACTGTCATACACAGAAATGCATACTCCTTCTGGTGGAAAAGAGCCCGTGCCAGCTCATCTCCAAGCCTCTGCTCACAAACAGTATACCTGTTATGTCTGGATGTTAGGGAGTGATGAGACCCATGGGAGACGTCAGTACAAATCCAGCCTGGACGATTCAAGTGGAAACTAAAACATTTTCTACACTCTAATACCCAAAGGAGCAAAGAAAAACACTCCAAAATGAATTTACATCCCAGCTTTCCCTTCTTTTTGCCCATCTTTCTTTCTCCAGCCAGACAGAGTGAGAGGTGGGGAATCAGTCAGTACCTTCAGTCCCGCTCTGCTTCAGGGCCAGCCCGCGTTAGATGGCTTCGCACAGATGCAGCAGAAAATCCCTGTCCGTCTCAAGTGTTGAAAGGCCTGTGAAAATAAATAAATAAATAAATAAAAAGGAGAAAAGAGGTGAGAAAAAAAAAAATGAAAGTTCTGAAATTAACTTGATGTATGGGAAAGAAAAAATAGAGAGAGAGAGTCAAAAGCAACAGCTATGTAGCAGCAAACAGCATGTGCAGAAGAATATCATGTTTCTGCACATTTCAGAGCAGGAATAAGGCATTTCTCTGTGGTGGGCATCATTTCAGATGGGAAAGAGAGCAGACAGACCCCGGGCTGTAGGTCTGAGAGCTCTCTGACCGCCTGCTATGGCTCCTATGCATGTTAACCTCTTGCGCTGCAGAAGGCAGGCTCCTACCAACATGCTTTTCAAGCCTTGTCCACCAGCATTGCTACAGCTATTTTTAAATCCCCCAAGAAGAGCTTGCCACTTAGCAACTGCCCTCTGATTTCCTAAGAAAATGAGATCTGTGTAATGATGCACAATACCAGAACTCCTGCCTGTCAGTGCCTTCCCTCCTCTCTCCCTCCACAAACTTAGCCACAGATTTTAACTAAACTTGACAGAGCAGTAGGAGCCTTGAAGACATGAAATTCTACAAATTTCATTAGATAGTCAGCCATGTAGAGGAGACAGGTCCCAGTGGTGCCCATGCTGGCAGAAAGGCTGCCGAGTGAGCTTGACCACACAAACTCGGAGGGAGCAGACATCAGCGAATCCACAAGGAGAAAGCTGCTATGAATACTGCAACCACAAGAAAAGCCTTGTATTTCATTAGACAGCAAAGACTCCAAACACAGACTACAGCGTCACTGGAAAACAGATTTCATGGGTCTTACTACTCAGAGTTATTTGAAGTTAGTATTTTATTTTTACATGTATAATCTAGTGGGACTCTACAAAGCAAATGAATAAATCCTGGGGAGATTGAGGCATTGAGAAGACTCCAGGACTACAGATAACATACAAAAGATTCCTATTCTACCTCCTTTTCCATTCCCTCCCTTGGCCTTCAAACCTAACCTCTTTTGGAGGTTATCTGAACACTGGCAACTTGCAGGTTGTGGAAATGGCTATGTGTCTGATAATATTTTATTTTTGGCATGCTCTGCTTCACGTTGTTGTTTTGGAGTAAAAAGGGGCTCTTTTGTTCTAGGTGTAGGTACATGCTGAAGTGAAATACCCAAAGGTCTGGATATCTCTTTGAGTTGTCCAGTCAGCACCAGTTTCTTACCGTCTGGAGGCCTTTGACACAGCAATCCATTATTTCTTGGTTTAATTCTTTATGCACGGCTTTTCATATTGATTACCTAACATCATTAGTTTTGGTCATTCCATACAAGAGACAATGGAAAGATCAATTTTAACCATATGAGCTAAAGGAACTTGCTCTTAAAGCATCCAGGGACTGGAATCATTTATCTTCTGCTCTCTGAATCATAAATCTTTTACAAGTGCAGCATTAGATTCATTGTTTGCTACAGACGCATGTGATGTAGTTGGGGATCATTGTAAAAGTGTCCTACATTGCACTGTGAGGCTGTACCCATAAAGCATATTAATGTACAGTATTGTCATGGAAATTGTCATGAGTTGCTGCAAAGAGCATGGTTTTCACAAGAGCTCTGCAAATCATTGATTTTTTTTAATTCGGTGGCTGAAGTGGAAAGAGAGGATTTGTTTGTTAGACCTAGAATGGAAAATATTTGCCTCCTCAACTAATCAGAAACTGTTTTGCATCCAAGAAAATGTTTTGTTTCATGCTTTTTTAGTAAAAGTAAAGGGAATTTGAAAGGGAGGAGCTGGCTTTACAATGGGTTTTCAGTAATATTTGCAGAATCGGGCAGAAAACAGGAGGTAGCCCATTAACATGCAATAACTAGGAAGATAACTGTGGTTAAGGCTGTCAGTGCAAAATATAGGAATATGCAGTTTGGGGCCATGTTTGCCTGTTTAGGACCTAGGAAAGAAGGGGACATGCTGTGCTACAGTGTCTCACTTAATCACATTCATGAGAGCTGTATTGCTTTTCAAGACAATTTATACAAATCAAGCAGAGGAAGGTTTTGAGCCATGACCTCTCACATCCTAAGTCCCAGCCACTGGGGACAGATGAACTGAGTGGAAAGACAAGATACATCCATGTTTCTGCTCTGAGCCTGTACCGAAACTTTCCAAGCAAACTTTAAAACAAATCATTTATCACTCTTGTGTAACCAGCTAGCAGTGTCCAAACTCTCAGGGCAAGAGTGGAGTGGGACAAGCCATCATCGGAAAGTTCAAGCCTCGATGACCCGAGTAAACAGAGCTCTTCCACAACATCGTCACCCCCTGGTTGGGCTTGTCACTGACAGGGAGAACGATCACAATCAATGGGCCTACTTCTGACCAAGACCAGTGCTGTACCAAAACAAAACAAAACAAAAGGAAAAGTATATTTGTTGTTTCTGACCTAAGAAACAGCTATATGGACATATCTGTACATGTACAAGGGTTCTGACCTCTCCGAGGTATCTGATGCAGTTTTGCAGTCTCAAGAGGCCTGAGTCAGATTGCTTCAGAGTACCATACAAATCTGAACTTTCAGATAGTTCACCAAACAAATGGATGAGCTGGAACTCTAGAGATATTTCACATTCAGAAAGAATCTAAAAAGTACCTTTTATTTTTTTCTTTTTTTTTTTTTTTCAATTGAATTGGAGTTGTTTATTTAAAAAGAAATTTAAAAGTGCACATTTTTAAACAAGAGTTTTTATTCTTCCCCAGCTTTTAACTGTTCTACTTGGAGCCTTTCGGGAATTTGCTGTCATGAGTCTCCAGACTGTCAAGTGCTGAGGAATATAACTGATGAATAACAGTCCCTATATGCCCCAGCTGGACTGATCTCTTTCAAAGGCCTCCAAAGTCATAGTGTGCTTCCTTCTTTACAGAGAAGTAATATCATTTTAATAATTCTACAACTCTTACAAAAGACCCATTAGAAATGTGGAGCTTTTAGACATTCTAGCCAATGTTCAGATAGTGTGATTCAATGGAGCTTCAAATCCCCTTCAACAAACCTATACTGAGTCACAAAAAATGAAGACCTAGCAGGCAATGAGAATACAGCATGGATAAAGAGGTGATAAAAATAACAGGAAAGCCTGAAAGCTTTTCCTTTATCACGGACTAGGATACTTAAGAGTGTAACTTTCCTCCAGCTGCATATATTTAATTTATTTTTTCCAAACCTCCTAAGGCAGTGACAGGTAAAATAAACAGATAAGTGCAATGCTGGAAAAAAAAATAAAAATAAATAAATAAATAAAAGACAACCAAAATTAAGGGTTGAAATTGTTTGGATCATACAACCACACCTTCTGTGAAAGCCAATAGGTAGTATGGTAAAGCTGCATGTACAGAGGTTGCATGGGGTGAAATAGTGAGGGAGCTAGAAGAAGATGCATAACATGGCATTACATGACCAGAGATATCACCAGCATGTGTGTGAGCCATTGGAAGGAGCTTCTACAGCAATGGATTGCAGTAAAGGTTTTTTGCCTAGGAAATACTGCAGTACTCTGCTTTCAGGAAACTCAGGCCTTTTTGTAGAGCTGGTGGCGGTGACAGACAATGCCTCATTCATTCCCAGTAGCAGTGTGATTACAAGACGGAGGCTTGGTGAAAGAAACAAGTACGTAGAGGGCAGACCCTGTGCAATCCACACCTGGAGCAGATAATAAACTACCTGGCTCTCAGGGAGAACATTTTATTCCAGCGTGGCTCAAGATGATGTATGAAACCACCAAAGATTACAGTCACTGATGTCTTGGGAGTGATTTGATGTTTATGCTTAACCCTAACATTGCTTTTGTTTATAGACACTATTTCTAGGGTAATCTTATCTTATATGGCTTTTATGGAAACAAAAACTATCAGGCTACAGCTTTTATAGTGCAGAGGGTGACATGGATTTGATTTACACTTCATTACAAACCAGTTCTACAAACTCCGCTAAGATGCATAGTTCTTATTTTCCCAGTGAAAGCCAGAAAGGAAATGAGACATTTCTGAGTTGTGTGTGTGACTGGATAATTTGTGTCAGACTTACCTAGCAGCATCTCTGATGTTCACGCTTCCTTGAGCATCAGAATTTCAGCCTGGAAAACTCCCTCCATGTGCAGGCCAGTTCCTCCGTGTTACTCCCTAACTCTAACACTCTGTCAGGGTGTTCATCTTGCAGCCTCTCCTTTAAAAATGGAAATAGACATAGTTGTTTTCACCCTTCATGTCCTGTTGTGATGAGTCTTGGAAGCACAGTGAGTGATACAGATAAGCCACAGCCACACCACCAAAAGGGATGGCAGGAGAGCACAAAATGAAACATATTCCACATATTGCCATGGTATTGAACCCCCCAGGTCCCGTTTTTTTTCCCACTTATTTTGCACTATTTTCCACTGCATGCCCCACTCCAGGGAAGCCCTGAGAAGTGCAATATATTGTAATTGCTGTATGGGGCAATTAGCTTTAGCTCCTGCTGAATAGAAGGGAAGCTTTTGAGGTCAGTTTTGGGCCTTGCAGAGTCCAAAGGCTTTCCAGGGAAGTCCATTCCCATATTAGCCCATCTATCTAACTGTCAACACATCTGTAGAAGTGTCCAGAAACCTCATGTGAAATCATAATGCTGATCAGCAGTCGGGCCTACCAGAAACACTGAAATCCAAAAGGGGAAAAAATAATAATACTTTTACCTTTCAAGGAAAATCATTAATTTCTATGCATCTGTTCAAAGCAAGAAAAGACAAGAAAGTAAATCTGTATTTTTAACACAGAAATTTTTCCAACTTTCTAGCAAAAGCAGTTTTCCAGAATGAAATAGAAATTTCCCTGCTGTGAAAAAATCCCTTTGGGTTTCCATCACCAATATACAGAGAAAAAATATATATATTATTTAGATGTTTTATTATCTAAATCACTGGAGAGCACCTCTGAGGGATCCACTTGGGAAATCAAGAGTTCCTGGATGCAGACCTGAACCATCCCAAAACCTTATTAATGCTAAGTGCTATTTGCATCGCAGCAACATGAGGCCGCAATGGAAGTAGCTCCAAGCACCAAAGCGCAAACACAGGAATGAACCAGGAGCTCCTCTTGCCTGGAGCAGGAGGAGGGATCTCCTACCTGACAAACCCATCTTTGCTGCGGGTTGCTACTGGCCCTGGGAGGAAACAGTTTTGTAGGAGGGGGGTGCTGGAAGCATTTTGTCCTGACTGGACCTGAAGTATCAGAGGCAAATAAAAGTGAAGCTCCACAGCTGAACTTTAATAAAATATGCCATGTTACATAGCTGTTAAAGCCCTTCACTACTGCCTGGAGGCTGAGAAATTGTTACTAAACCTATCCACCGTTTCACATAGTTAGAAAGCTACTTGTCCTCATTGTACCTCGCACATGCTGCAGCTGCAAGGATCTGGCATCTCTAGAAGGCTGGAGAAGCATAAGGTGTGTGTGCGCAGAAACAGCCATCCCTGGTGCAATTTCAGTGCCTCATCCCTGAAGGCCAGGACGTTATCTGAAGGGAAACACTTGGTTCCTCCAAAGCCAACGTTACCTAGGGTGAAATTTCCATTGCTCCTGATTTATGGCCCCTGGATTCTCTGTGAGCTGGACAAGGCTGCTGTGTCTTCAGACACACTGACACTCATGTTCCTGTATGGGTGCTGACGGGTGGTTGAGGGAGAGGTTGGCTTTCAGAGCTGCTTGAAGTGTTCATAAAGTTGGGAACAAGGAGGAAAATAATCCTGCAGCTAGGAATCCTGGAATTAACTGAAGAAAGTTTCAGGTCTGATTATGAAAAGCACAGGAGGTGAGTGTTTCTGGTTGCTGTTAGCATGCAGCAAATTGAGGCATTGTAGTTTTATCTGTTACTAGAAAAGCCCTCTACTTTAAGGAAAAAAAAAGAAAAAAAAAAAAGTAGGAGCCCCACCGTCTCATTTTTAACAAGGACCAGCTGAAAAATGAAGGCAAGCAGCACACAGACCATCTCATGTCTGCCAATTCATTTCCTGGCCCTGAAAGAAAAAAAAGAAAAAAAAAAAGAGAGAGAGAGGGAGGAAAAAAAAAAAAATCCTCTTGTTTCCTCTCATGCAGGCCAAACATGGCAAAGCACCAGGGGAATTCTGAATGGAATCAATTGCACTTGTTACTAACTGAGTTTTCTTTTATTCTTATATTACCAAGGCCTGGATATTCAGCTGCAAGCAATTATAATGAAGAGTTACTGAGTAATGGTTTCCAGATTGCTCCATGATGGGGCATTAATTGAAAGGGACAATTTAAGAGCTTAGGCCATGTAAATGCATTTCTTATTCTGTCAGATTGAGAAATTTCTGCCTACAAGAGGCTGAAATGCTCGGAACTGATAAAGACTTAATAGTAGCCACTTAAGTGAACATTTGGAAAAGGGATTTTACATTTAAGGGATCAAGAATAATTAAATAAAGTAGAGAGTCAGGGTTTTATTAGGAGTCAGAATGTGCATGTTATCAGCAGCCTGGTAATTCCCCTCAGAGGCACACAGCATTGCAGGGGGAAGATGACAACAGGGTTTGGCTCCTTATCATGCCGTCTGATCTCACATCAGTCCTTGATGCTCCAGAGTGAAAGGCCCTATTGAGTCCCAGAGAATCAAAGGCACAACTCCCCATAAAGTCAGCAGGATGAGTTCAGAAGGATAACGTTGCATTGCTGATATATCCAGCCTTTTCTAAGTGCCAGTTAAGAGAAAACACTTCTGTACTGATTCCTGATACAGCTATTGGCTTCAAGTGTAACAGAGGAGAAACAAGGTTTTTAATTCTATTGCAGCCAAGCAAACACAGACAAAAAATATCCCTTGGAATACGCTAGTAAAACCTGGGGTTATTTGTTTCAGTGATGAAGCCTTGGAATTTGCAAGCTGTTCAAGAGATACTATTTTCAGTATAGTATAACCAGTGTTTCAAAGCTTTCATATAAATATTTTTTTTTGCACTTAACTATGAAATCATGCCTTTCATTATTTTTCTTCAATCTGATTATCCTGGCAATTGTTATAGATAATACGAATGAGAAATACATTTCACCCCTAGGTTAGTAAGTCTTTCTAGATCTTTCACGAATTCACATGAAACTGGAGATAACTACTGAACAGGAGAAATGTTTTCTTTCCCGCAACATCGAACCACTTCTAGGAATAATTCTGGGAAGAAGGAGGGGGAAGGGAGTTTATGTCTCAGACTTCTGTCATTATCTAGCTCGAACAGATGGAGGCTCAGGCACTTGCGATTAAATCACTGAAATGAAGACGGACACCACTGAAATGGTGGTCAGTCATCTGCTCGATCCTACATGGCAAGCAGCCCCCCTGAAGCAAGCCACAGCCTGCCAGAGAGCCATTACTGGGATGCCTGGGGTTGCAAATATAAACAGCATCGGAGTGGGTGGTCAGCTCAGGTCAGGCCTGGGGTTGATTCACAGGCACTAAATTAATCCGTAAAGGGGATATTGCTGGGACACAGTGTGGAGAGAGGGGGAAAGCAGGGTGTGTGCCAGTTATTGGGCTCTTACAAACGAGAAGGCCAGGCAGGAGTCTGTGTTCCACCACCTGACACAAAAGCAAACTGAAAGTGAGGGCAGGAGGGAAATAACAGCCCTGCTCCACTGCATGGCAAAATCCTCTGGGCTTACCGGGAGGTCTTCCTCCCTAAGTACTCTTCCGCACCCTAGCCCCAGGTCATGCCCTACCTTCCCCTTGGTTATGGCTCAGGGAGACTGTCCCACATGGGGACCTTCATCCTAGCTGCTTCCCTGCCTCTTCCCAGCTCCTGTTCACCCTCAGGATGGCAAAACCTACTCTTGCCTGCAGTGCAGTGCAGGGTAGCAACTCCGTGAAAAGGCAACAAAGCAGACAGCAACCCCATGCACGCTGTCCCCTGATGCATTCAGGTCTCATCACCAGGGTATGCACCAGGGATACCCCAGTGACAGGTTGCTGAGTTTTTGCCTCTTTGTCACCTCTGCCTCTCCCTGTGGTGGTGGCAGTCCCATGTGTGGTGGAGGTGGAGAAGACCCTCACTGAGAGACCCCAGGAGCTGTGGGAGGGATGCCTGTCAAATGCAGGATGGAGCCAGGGTGGCCTTCCTTGGGGCCAGCAGGAAAAGGCGCCGTGGTTAATCAAATATATCTTCATTCAGTTAGTGCCTGGAGAAGAAAACATGCGTGGTGTTACTTCACTGAAGCCACAGGAAAGCAGGCTACAACAGAATGGGAAATTTAGAAAAGGCTTTCCCTATTCCTTGTTAAAAAACATGTATTTATTTTCAGTAGGAGGGCTTCTCTTCAAATCGATGCCGTTGCTTTCTTCATTGACTAATAAACTTACACCTGGCATTACTCCAGCCTACAGCCAGTCAGAAATCCATCCAGAAATCCCACACATACAGGAAATAAATGAAAAAATATATATTTTTTTTCTATGTTATCATTAAAAGCAGAGAAAAAAAAAAAGAAAAAAAAAAAGAAAAAAAAAACACTATTTGGGAATAAATAACATTATCATTAAAAATAGCCTGTGGAAAGCTAGGGCTAGAGGTTTGGAGTGGGGGGCAGCTGTTATTGTTTATCAGTTTAGGTTTCCCCCCCCCAAGTCCAACCCTGCTTTGAAATGTAACACGTCATTAAGGAATTTGTAGTTACAAAGTACAGACACTTGCTCCTGACAGTAAGCATGGCCACTTCTGTCAACAGAGCGAAACCATAACCACTCCCTCCATGTTGCCCCTAGTCCAAAACGGCAAAAATCCTGATTAACAGCCAGGATAAATATGGCAACCAACCAAAACACTATCCAACACGAAGCTTGGTCAAGCTATAAAACTGCCAGCAAATAACCCAGAAGCAAAGCTTGACGCTGAATTTTAAGTTTAGAATAATAGTCTAACCCCAAGAAATATGAATCTGATAACCGCTGAGGAAGGAGTCTGGGATTTTCATTAGTGGCTGGTGTGGTGGGGGCGTGCTGCTGGTGGGAGGTGGGATGCAGAACAGCACAGTGCTGAAATGTGAAGGGGGCAGGATGGTTCAAATCCCGAGAAGGAAAAGGGAAGGGGGGGGGAATATTTGTTTTTAAAGGCATTTTTACATTAAGTCACACAAGTGGTTGAAAGACTTACTGTTCGTGCAAGTCCTAGGCTGGTCCTCTCTGATGCTGCATAAAAGTTCTTCTGTTTGCTCCATGGGAGCGGGTGCGTGTTCAGCACACAGAAGTTAATGGGCTGTACACAAAGCCATTTTTCCCTCAACTCCTCAATTTTTAAAATTTTTGTTTTAAGGAAAAACCCATGACCCCATCACATAATGGAAAGCTGAATGCCTCAATGTAAATCAAATAATTAGAAGGATATTTCCTTTGCTTTACAAATTTCACTCACAAAAAAAAAAAAAAAAAAAAAAAAATCCTAAAAAAAAATCTTGGAGGTGGCTTACTTGTTTTTTCTGGCTCTGTGTATCATTGCATAGTTGGCCCTCATGCGTCTTGACTTTGTGACACCCAGGTTTTAGTCATGCTTAGCCTTTCTGAAAAATAATAGTAGTAATAACAGCAGTGGCAGATTTAACCACAAGCAGACGGGACGTTGCCTCATGGCCCCTTCTCTGTAATGAGCGTAGGCTATTTTGGTTGCTATTTTCTGCTCTGCAGAGGGCTTGAAAGCACTTATATATAACTCTTGGCACCAGACCAACACCCTAAACAGCATTTCAAATGTAGCCAAATATCAACTGCTCACCTAGGCAGGCTTAATCCGTCCACTGTCTACCTGCTGCATGCATGTGTACAGATGTTTACTTGGAAGCTCAGATGTTGATTTTCTTGCATCTCCAAACCTTTCCTATGGTCCTAACATGCTAGTGATAGGGAATGCGAAAGTTATCTGTGATTTTTGCAGTGAACCAGAGAAGTTCTCTCTTCTTCGTCTTACACAGCATCATGCCAGACTGTTTATGCATGATTTCCTAAAGCCCTAAAACTCAGTTCTGGTGTTTAAAGGCCAAAGTAAAAGCTGCTTTTAGTGGGTAGAAGCTGAGAAGTCTTTTTATTAAGACTTTTTAGCTGTATTTTGAGGGTTTATTTAAAAACAAAATCCATTCACACCTTGTTAGTGAGACATCTACTTAAGGAAAAAAAATAAAAGTGGAAAAGAGTAATACCATTTATAAAGGAAAAAAAAAAGTTTTTTGTTTTCTTTTTGCATGTGATGTAAATTTTATGCAGTTTTTCTTATAAAACTAGACCTCACTGGGTGCCTGGGAAAGGGAAACTAAGAACTAAGATGTTACATATGCTAGATAACATGCTGCAAGCAGTTGTGCAGATACACCGTGATTTTGTACAGCTCAGATAAACTATCAGCTCTCTCTCACCTCAGAAATCCTCAAAGGAAGCTACCAACAGATTCCCAGATTTCTAAGGAAGCCATTATTTGGTAGCTCAGTTTTAGATAACTATAACTGCAGTGTCAGTTTACCTCACGGCATCTTCACTGTAAGTTCAGGAGTAGTTTGCATAAGGGGCAATTGGTTGTGAGCAATCAAAATCACCTAGGCTGTTATATTTGGATTTGTTGGATATAATCTAGAGGTTAGACATCTCTGAGCAACCCCTCATGGCATTCACTCATGCTAAAACATCCAATTTTATAGAAAATTTATATAAAAAGCCTTCTACTGCATTTTCAAAGCCACCCCACAGAATCTAACCAAGTTGCACTACAGACTGCTCCACATCAGTTTACAAGTCCTGATCGTCCTCCTCTAAATGCCAGGGTATTTTTTCAATAACAGAGCAAACAGTGATTTCAATTACAATGCAGCTTCCTAAAAGGACATCTCACAGCTTTACAGATGCAACAGGAATTTAAGCTGTCAAAGATGTTACCGCAGTGCTGCTGACAAAAACCTGGCCATTGTACCTGCAGTCTTCACAAGCAACACTCCAGAGAAAATGAGATATGAAAGAAAGAGTAGAGTACATCCTGTGAAGACTGGTCGTGTCCAGGGTGTCATGTGGCACTGTACTTCTCCTCCAACCTGACACAGAGTGCAGGAAAGACAAAAGAAATCTTGGGAGTCGTGTCATGGCATTATACCACCTAATTTTCCTATCAGCCTCTGTTCCCAAGCCCACAGACACTTTTTGCAGGAACAATGTCTTTCCTGGAACATCTGGATCCCACAAAGGCTTTCGAAGGGGAGCTGTGACAAATCTGCTGCCGACACTGGCAGCAACAGAGATGCGAGCATGTTTCTGTTAGAGGACTGCCGGGGATGACTGACATGATAAATCATTTCTCATTACCCCAAAACAGAAGGAAAGAAGACTTTAGATGAATGTTCTGCCCTTTTGTATCAAGGGAGGAAAGGCACCAGCATGAAAGGACTACCAATATCAAAGACCAATGTAAA